CCCCCCTGCGATGCCGACATAGGCCCTTCTGAACAGAGGGCGCGCGGCATACCCAAGGCACACACATTCCCTTGGTCCGGCCTTCGCTCGCGGGGCTGATCCTCGCCACCACCGGCAGCCATTCGGCTAATGGACCAGACACCCTCAGCCGATAGCCGATCCCATGCACTAGCTGCATCCACGGGGACTTCGTGCGACGAGGGGGCGGAGGCCTACGCACGAGGGCCAGATCCCAATGTTCTCCAGATCGCCCCCCTGGGTCCAGCCGATCACCGAAGGGCCTGCCGTCCGGGCTCCCGCCAGCCGCTCTCCAGTTGTACAAAGGGCGAAGGGAGGAACGGTCCCGAGGGAGATGCCCCCCCCCCCCCCCGTACCTCAGAGCTGTGTTTCAGGCAAATTGCCCCGAGAGGAGAATCGCAGGGGGAGGCCATGCCACTCGGCAAAGCAGTCACACCCACACCCGCCTGGTCGCTGTGTAACACTCTCCCTCTCCCACACACATACGCACACATACGCACGGGTGCGTTTTGTCTGCTTTTTTCGAGTGATGTATTTTCTGGTATTTTATCTGAGAACTCGCCGCCGGCAGGGGGCAAATCAAAAGAGGAGGACGCAACGCGCACGCGGTAAGGGGGAGGTGTGGAGGGAGATAGCGGAGAAGGAGGAGGGGGGAGGGGGGGGGGGGGGAAATCTAGACACCATATGGTGCTATTGCCAGATCCAGTGAGGTAGCAAAAGGGAACATGGGGGGAGAGGGGGGGGGGGGAGACGCCGCGCACGAATTCCGGCCTTGGTGGGGGGGGGGTCAACAGGAAGTAGTGGCTACGCTGCACGTAAGACATCATATACGCGTACGTGCGCGCGCGCGCGGCCATACTCATGTTGTGCGACTCCACAAAAACGCGAATGCACACACATGTCCGCCACACCCGGGGGGGGGAAGGGGAAAAGGGGAGGGGGAGGGGACACCAGGCATCGCGCGCCTGGGGGCTGTTCTCCCGCCCGGGGGAGGACAAGGATCGAGGATGCGGCACACATCGCCGCCGTAGGAGCCTGTCGGTATCTGAAAAGAGAGGGGAGGAGGGAGGGGTGGTAGATGGGGGCGGAGGGGTGACACATAGGATGGTGCCTCCGCGCACGCGCCACGCGCCCGCACGCGTCGCCGAGAAGGTCACTCCATCGATTGGGGGAGGGGGGAGGGGAGGTGCAGTGACAGGCGGGGAGAGGGGGGGAGGAGATGGGGAGGAGGGCCGGTGCACACAGACACAGCCGAGGGACATTGTCGACCACGCTGGTCCGCACGCACACACACACGCACGCACATACCCCACATTTCCTGGAAAGGACTCCCTTTTCCCCCGCCTCAACACACGCACACACACGGACATACACAACACGGCCTGCGGCCCTGTCGACACGCTCACATTTCCCCACTTACATGATGATCGACGGCTCATACACGTTGTCGGAAATGGTCTTGTGCGGCAGGACCCGGGCTCCGTTGACGAAGACCTCCTCGGACACCTGGACATCCAGGCCCAGGACGGTCACCTGGTCCAGACGAGCCCAGCGACCGACACGGCTCTGCCAGCCAACAATCGACTTGGCCACACGGGCATGGGCCTGCACATGGGCATGGTCCAGGAGGGCCGAGTCGCGAATGCGCGCCCCGGACTCGATACGGGCATTCGGCCCGACGGTGACATTCGGCCCGAGCAGGCAATCCGGGGCCACGGTGGCCGTCGGGTGGATGAGCACATTGCCGACAATGTGCGGGCCGGTTGCCAGGCTGGCCGGCTCCGTGTCACGCATATGCGCCAGGTGCAGGCCGATGCCACTCAGGTAGTCCGCCGGCTGGCCGACATCCATCCAGTAGCCCTCGAGGTCCATGCAGCAGAGCTGGTTGTCGCTGGCCATGGAGGGGAAAATCTCCTTCTCAATGCTGGTGGGCCGGAGCTCGATCCGGTCCAGCACCGAGATATCCAGGATGTAAATGCCGGCATTGATGCGGTTGCTCACGAAGTCGGAGGGCTTCTCCACGAAGCGCTCCACCAGGGTCGGCTCGTGCGGGTGCGCCACCACCACACCATACTTGGACGGGTCCTCGACTCGGGTGACGGCGATCGTCCCGGCGCGGCCGTGCTGGCGATGGAACTCGGCCATCTGCGACAGGGGGAAGGGGCAAATGATGTCGGAATTCAGGACGAAGAAGGGGGACGGGTCCTTCAGAAGGAGGTCGCGCGCGAGGGCAAGAGGGCCGGCTGCATGGTTTGCCAGAGAGGTCTCCCGGGTCAGTGTGTGTGCATATGTGTGTGTGTGTGTGTGTGTATGTGTGCATGTAGTGTCGAGATGCCGACGCGTGGGGCATATGGGTGAGATCTACGCACCGGTACCGAGGGGCTCCTGCTCGACGCTGAAGTGGATCTTGATGTTGTACTGTTGTTTTCCCCCCGTTTGTGTGTGTGTGTGTGTGTGCGGATGTGTGATCGGGGTAAGTTCAGATGCCATGGAGTGGAGGGGGAGTGGGTGTGTGTGTGTGAGAGGGGAAGGATCGCGTACCTTCTTCTCGAACTTCTCCAGCTCAGCCATCATGATGTCCGGGCGGTAGTTGACTGCGAGGATGACATCGGTGACACCCGCCTGTGTGTATGCGTGTGTGGTTTGTGTACGGCGTGTGCGGCGGTGTCCCAGGTGGTACGGGTGTCAGTGGGTGAATGTGCTTCGTAATACTATCGAGAGGGGGGACAGGCAGGCGAGATGGGCGAACCTTGGCCAGCGCATCGATCTGGATCTCAATCATCGGCCGGTTGGAGAAAGGCACAAGCGGCTTCGGCAGCGTCAGGGTAAGGGGGCGGAGGCGAGTGCCAAAACCTGGGCACCGGGAGGGGGAAAGGGCCAATGGTTAGCAGGTGGCAGAGGGGACTGGTGGTCAATGCGGAAGCAGGGGGCCGAAAGCCGACGCACCACCGACGAGGATGAGAGCCTTCATGTTGACCCTATGGTGTTAAGCATTGCGGGAGGGGGGGGG